CATCTTCCAATATTTGGGAGCTTTGCTTTAGCAAATAGTCATAGTAGTATCATTTAGGTTTGAATTATAATTAAACTATAGCCCTCCCAAGTGCAATATGTGTATTGATGTAAATAAGTGCTGAGTTTATATTATCTGCCTTTAATTATTTCTTACCTTGGTCACTTATTACACAGTAGACAGTAGGGGTATCAATGGATAACTGATTAACCTGTGGGGGCTGGAGCAGCTCTCTGCCTGCTCTGGCCTGGCTGCTCATGCCCCTGCCTATGGCAGGAGTTGGGTGGGCTCCCACCCCCTTAATCAGTTAACTGGTTAAACAATATGTTTAACCAATTAAACAGGATTTTACATCTCTAGGGACGGATGGGTTTTGAAATGAAACTTGTAAATTTTTAGGCTTTGGAAAAGCTATATTGCCGACAATGGACATCAATGGATGGCTTGGGAGTTCTGATAATATCTCCTACGAGGGAACTGGCATACCAGACCTTTGAGGTTCTGCGTAAAGTGGGGAAGAATCATGACTTTTCAGCTGGCCTTATCATTGGTGGAAAGGTAAATTTTCATTTATTTGTTTTTGTATGGGAAATACAAATGATCAAGCATGGGGATAACAGGTATATGAACAGTTGGGAACCCCTTCACCACGGCAGAAGAGGAATTACTGGGAGCTTAGGGATGTAAATCCCGGGTAGGCAGTTTAACTTGTTAACCGTGGTGGAGAGGTACTCCCCCTCCCCACCCTGACAGCCTACAATGTGGTGGGCCCATCCAGGTTAGAGCAGACCTCTGCCTGCGGTGTGGTGCAGTTGGCCCAGTTGACCTGGAGCAGTCCTCCACCTGCTTACGGTGTGGGTGGGGGTCTGGCCAGGTTGGGCTGAGCACACCGTGGTGTGGGCAGGGGGTTGCTCTAGCCAAGCTGACTCAGCCAGAGCATCCCCCACTGGTTACCCAGGTAAGCATGCCAATAAAGGGCATGCTTACTGGTTAACCTTTTACATTCCTACTGGGAATGACTACATGACTATTTCCCAGTGTTTTTCTCTGTTCTATTGCTTATGTCTTCTGTAACTTCATTATCGTGCCTTTTTAGGCAAGGTGACTGAATAGGATTCCCACGCCAAAACTTTCAGCACTATCCATTAACTTAAAAGTTATTCTAAGAGTGCTGCTCAGAATTCTGAGTGTGCTGCAGAGATGGCACTCTTACCTCTGCTAAAAATTACTGGTTTAAGATGGCTTGAATTTGCTTTGTCGTGGGCAATAATTTATAATGGGGGCCACTCCAAGAATTTAAGTGGCCAAGGGATACACTTTTCTATTATATTAATGGAGGAGATATAGGTCTGGGATGGAGGTTGGCCACAGAAGGGATCTTAGGATAACGGATTGGCAGGGCTTGACAAATCACTGAATCTACTTGCCCGTGGCGAGTAGATTTCAGCCGGTCACCCTGTTCACCAGCAGCACACACATGTGCAATGCAGGTCTTGTGCATGCGCAGTGCGGGGCTGGCGATAAGGTTTTTCTGCTGTTTGTCAAGCCCTGCGGATTGGGGTGCAGGAGGGAGTGTGGGATTTGGGAGAGAGTTTGGATTATGGAGGGGGTTGTGACCTGAGATAAGGGACTGGGGTACAGGAGAGGGTGCAGCGTCGGTGAGGAGGTTGTGACCTGGTGCAGGATGGGCTGCAGTGGTTTGGAATGTGACCGGGGTGAAGAGTCTGGGAGGGAATATGGGTGCAGGAGAAGACTCTGACCTGGAAGGGTCTGGGAAGGGGTTGTGACCTTGGGCAGGCATGAAGGAGGAGGTGTAGGTTCTGGGAGGAGTATGGGTGCAGGAACAGGGATGCAGAGGGTTTGGGTTATGTGTGGCAGGGTTGCAGGAGGGGCAGCAGAGGTTTTGGGGAGGGACGGCAGGGGTGCCTGATGCAGGCTCTGGCCAGGAAGCGCTTATCTGTGTGGCCCAGCAGGTTCCTAAGCGAGGGTTACTGCCTTCTATGACTCTGCATGTACATTCTACTGTGAACTGAATACTGCAAGCCCTGAGAGAGGAATGGGAGGGGTACTTCACATGGGGCCTGTCTTGCAAAGAAGCAGCTCCTATTGGCCAGAAACCAGCTAATGGGAGCTAAAGATTTTGCTGGGGGGCAAGGTCAGTGTAAGAAGCCTCTTTCTCCTCCCATGGGCTCTCAGCATTCATGGACT